TTGATTAAGTTTAATATCTTTGCATTTCATTCAAACCTTTCCTGAAAGGATTGCCCATTACTGTTGATGATGGAAATGTATGAACTGTGTATATTCTTCAAGAACTATAAGGAAGCCAAAGCCAAACTCCAGGAGTTTCAGAATCACCTTGAAACTGTAAGTTGGAATGACCGTGCTCTTGCTGTATGATCTGAAGTTGGTTGGAGTGGACTGTCTATGTTAGTAGTTGTGATGTGTCAGCAGGAGGATCGTGGTTATGTAGCATAGTGCATTTTTACTGTTCTGGAGATAAGGAGTCCAGGATTACAGTGGCAGTGACCTCAACTTATCAGTTGTAGAGGTGATGGAGAGGTTTCATTTTCAGTATCCTGAAGCTGTACCCAAGTCCAATGGGAAAGGGATTTATTCTAGAGAGGAGTGTGGTGATTCTTGGGCGACCACTTGCTCATTGACTAGCCCAGGATGGCACTAGCACCTTTCCATGTGAAGTACGTTAATGCTGCTTTAAGCACTAACAAAACCAGTGTCACTTTTCATCAACACTCCTGGTGGTCCTTGTCCCAGTGTCAAGGGGAGCCTTGTGATCCATTGCAGTCTTCTTATTCAGATACTTGTTTAAAACAAACCAAACCCACTCTAATCAAGCAAGTCAGTTCTAACTCACAACAGCTATAGAACAGAGTAGAAACTACCCCATAGAGTTCTCAAGCCATGTGCGGAAAAGTTCTAAGAAAGAAGAGGGATTATGTCGTCATCTTGCTTGGAGTTTTCAACACTGTTGCCCTTTCTGTCTCAAATGGGGTTTTTGATAAATAAGACAAAAATATATGCCAACAAATATGTCACAGTACAATCTCAATAGTAGTCTTAACTTTAGTGAAGATTTAAAAGTTTTCTTATTTGAAAGTACTATTAATTGTTTCAGGTGTGGCTGAACCTCCTAAGCCAAAAAAAATAGACATATTTTCTATTGACTGATTTCCTCTGTTGGAACCCTCCTGTTACGTTCTCTCTCGCCCTCCTGTCCCTGCTCCAACCCCTTGGAGGCCACTGCAGCCACTCCAGGCCCTGCCCTCAGCCTTTGTATTTCTGTATGTTTTCCCTTAATCAGTTTCAGTCTACCTGTTATAATCCCTCTTATTGGAGATAAAAAGTTATGTAAATAAGTAATGAAATCCAAAAAGATTAAACAGCTGCCTTGATTCAGGACATTAATAAGGATATTATGAGAATAAAGACTGAAAATGGAAATTTTAAATAACTTTTGATTTTCTAAACATCAAAATCTGGTTGAGATGGTCATAGAAAACATTCATTAATGATGTCTAAGCAAAGAATCATTGGAGAAGTTCAATATCAGCAGTGAAACTAGGCCAGGTGCTGATTATGGAACAGACCATCAGCTATTCATATGCAAGTTCATATTAAAGCTAAAGAAAGTTAAATTATATTCACAGGAATAAAAATTTTATCTTGGGTCTATATCTTCCCTGAATTTAAAAATCAACTCAGGAACAGGTCTGAGGCCTTGAACTCTAATAAATGAAGACCAGATGAGCTGTGGGAAGATAATTGTGAATATCATCTATGAAAAAAGCAAAAGACAAGACCAAAATGGATGTGAGAAGAAACTTTGAATATTATACTAGAGCACCGAAAAACAAAAAAGCAAAGGGAAGAAATTAAGGAGGTGAATAGAAGATTTTAAAGCCAGCTTGGGATGACAAGGCAAAGTATTATAATGAAATTTGCAAGCAGCTGGAGTCATAAAATCAAAAGGGCCAAACTCTCTTGGCATTTCTTAAGCTGAAGGAACTAAAGAACAAATTTAAGCCTCAAGTTGTGATGCTTAAGGATGCCATGGGCAGAATATTGAGTGATTCAGAAGCATTAAAAGAAGATGAAAGGGTGTATACAGAATCACTTTATAAAAAAGAATTAGCTGATACAGAAGAATTTCAAGAAACAACATAGGATCAAGAGGCAATGGTAATGAAGGAGGAAGTTCAGGCTGCTCTAAAAACTTGATGGAATATCAATTGACATATTGCAACAAACAGATACTACCCTGGATGCGCATAATCACCAGGTTGGGTCAAGAAATCTGGAGGACAACTACCTGGTCAACTGACTGGAAGAGGTCCATACTTTTTCTGATTAAAAAAAAAAAAAGGTGACCTGATGGAGTATAGAAATTATTGAACAATATCACATGCTAGCATAAATCCTGCTAAAGATTATCAAGAAATTACTGGAACAGTACATTCACAGAGAACTACCAGAAATACAATCTGTGATTAGAAGAGTTAATGGTACTTGAAACATTATCGCCAGAGTCACATGGATCTTGGCAGAAAGCAGAGTACCAGAAGAATATCTATCTGTGTTTCGTTGACTTTGCAAAGGCATTTGACTTTGTGAATCACAATAAACTGTTTCTGACTCTGAGAAGAATGAGAATCCCAGAACATTTGATTGTGCCTGTGTGAGTCACAAATGACTCGGTGGCACATAACAACAACAACAACAACAACAGGGCACTGGGGTCAATGTGTTGGAATCAGTCAGTGAGACTGGCTCAAGGCAGGCTTCAGAGCTACTGTACATAGGGTCGCTATGGCTCACAAGCTACTTGATGGCATATAACAACAAAATAAAGAATAAATAGTGAATAATGATCTAACTTACAGGTTTACTGTCTTTCTCATTGTTGTTGTTGATTCCTATCAAGTTGAACATGACTCATAGTGACCCTATGAACAAAAGGCCTGAAAGCCCCTCTACAACTATCATTAATCAAAGTTCATTTAGTTTCCAAAGGCATGTTGTTTAGGAAGTAGATGCCACTCCTGCTTCCACTTCTTTCTCATTGTTGTTTGTTATGTACTGTTGAGTCGCTTGCAATTCATAGCAACCCTATGTACAAGAGCCCTAAACCCTCTTCTATCCTGTGCCGCCCACTGTCTCTGACACACCTACTCCCATTACCCCAGTCACTGAATCAATCTATCTCATCAAGGGTCTTACTCTCTTGTGCTGTCCTTCCACCCTCCCAAACATGATGCCCCTCTCCAGGGACTGATCCCTCCTTACAACATGCCCAAAGTATATCAAACGAAGCTTCAGAATCCTTGCCTCCAAGGAATAGCCCAGTCTCACCCTCTCCAGGACAAATCTGTTTGTCCTCCTTGCAGTCCATGGTATATTCAACACTCTTCTCCAGCACCACAGCTCAAAGGTATCAGTTCTCTTTCTGTCATCCCTAGTCATTGTCCAGTAGTTTGGTGCATAGCACACAATTGCAAAGACTATGGCCTGGACCAGGCACACCTTAGTCTCCAGATTGATTTCGTTGCTCTTCAGTACTCTGGAGAGGTTCCTGACAGCTGACTTTCCCAGTGCAATTAGTCTCTTGATTTCCTGTCTGCTGGTACCAACAGTATTGATTGTGGAGCCAAGCAAACTAAAACTGTTAACAGTCTCAATCTCTTCACCATCTGTTATGATGCTGCCAAGTGGTGGGAATCTTTGTTTTCTTGACGTTGATTTTCAATCCATATAGAAGGTCCTTGACCTTCTGAAGCAAGCGCTCGAGGTCCTCCTCAGTTTCAGCAAGCAGGGTTGTGTCATCTGCATAATGCAGGTTGTTGAAGAGTCTTCCTCCAATCCTCATGTCCCATTCTTTCTCATACAGCCCAGCCTCCCGGATGATCTGTTCTGCATACAGATTGTAAAGTTATGGAGACAGAATATATCCCTGGTGGACTCGCTTCCTGATTTTGAACTGTACAGTGTCTCCTTGCTCTATTCTGATGACTGCCTCTTGGTTCACATATAGGTTTTGCATAAGCACAATCAAATGTTCTGGGATTCCCATTATTCTCAGAGTCAGACACAGTTTGTTGTGATCCACACAGTCAAAAACCTTTGCAAAGTCAATGAAACACAGACATTCCTCTGGTACTTTCTGGTTTCTGCAAGATCCACCTAACATTACCTATAAAATCCTTAAGTATCATGGCCTCTTCTAAACCCAGCCTGCACATCTGGCAATTCTCTGTTGCTCCAGTTGTTGACATGTTGCTCCAGTTGTTTTGGGGTCATTTTCAGCAGAATCTTGCTTGCATGTGATATTTATGATATTGCTCAATAATTTCTGCACTGTCAGGTCACCTTTATTTGGAATGGTAACAAATACTGATCTCTTCCGGTCAGTTGGCCAGGTGACTGTTCTCCAGATTTCTTGGCACAACTTAGTGAGCACATCCAGGGCAGCATCTGTTTGTTGAAATATGTCAGTTGGTATCTCATCAACTCCTAGAGCCTTGGCTTTTGCCAGTTCTCTCAGGGCAACTTGAACTTCCTCCTCCTTCACCACAGACTCTTGCTCATACGTTGTTTCATGAAATTCTTCTGTGTCTGCCTATTCCTTTTGGTACGATGACTGTATACTCCTGGATCATTTAATATTCTACCCATAGCCTCCTTAAGTATTGCCACTCATAGCTTGACTTTTTCAGTTCCTTCAGCTTAAGAAATGCTGAGCAAGTTCAGCTCTTTGGATTTTCTGACTCCAGCTCTTACTTTGTCATCCCAAGCTGCACTTTGAAATTTTCTGTTCAGCTCTTTAATTTCTTCATTTCTTCATTTATCTTGAGCTTCTCAGCACTATAATGCAAAATTCAGAATCTCATCTGATAGCCATTTTTCTCATAGTCACCCCTTAACTATTCAGCAATTAAGAAAGCAGTTAAGGAGAGTTGGTGACCATATATATGATGGAATGAATCACTATCTGATCCTGTATCATTATACATATGGTCACCAAATCAGTGACATTTAGTAACAAGGGAAACCCTGTTGAAACTTGAAAGAAGCATGAGAAAGGGTGATATAGGACATAGGAAAGAAAGTAGAGTAAAAGTAAAGTGGGTATGGCTGGAGAGGAAATAGTGATATAACCGGATTTTATAAGCCTTTGCTTAGCTTTAGAATCTTGGCAATCTTGAGTATTCTGTTTAAAGGAATTGTTGAGTTCCTAAAATATACATCATAGCCAGAAAGCCTCTTTGGATATTATATTTTTCTTGAGAGCAGCTTTTATAGTGTGATCAGGCATATCTAGAAATAGGAAACCCAAACTAGGGCCTAATTTAGTACGAAACACAAAAATAAAAATGAAAATTTTTTTTCTTTTCTTTTCTTCTCCCTGCCTCTTTTTAAACAGTCCCTCGGTAAGGACTATCCACTTAGCTTTGTATCCAAAGATGAAATTTGTAGGTGAAAGGAGTTAGGAGTTAGCCTTCGTTACAGACTGGTTCATTTCAGGGTCGAAAATACGGAACGCTTCACAAATTTGCGTGTCATCCTTGCACAGGGGCCATGCTAATCTTCTCTGTATCGTTCCAATTTTAGTATATGTGCTGCCGAAGCGAGCACGAAAAATTTTTTTATAATTATCAACTCACAGTAGGTATTTTGCACCCAGGGAGTTACGAGTTGTTTCATACCAAAAGGCCCAGGGTTTTTTGTGGTTGTGTTGTGTGAAGTCAAGAGAGAACAGAACTACAGTGAACCTGCCAAAATAATACAAAGCAAACCACTAACGTCACAAAAGAAGCATCATTCAAGTAGGAAAACACCAGCCCTTGCAGATACTAAAGGTCTTAGGTATTTTTGCCATATTTACTCAGAAATGTAACGTATTATTTGAGGTCATGAGTGATTTTCCTATTAGTATTTTGCAACATTTGATTGAAATTACATTAGTCAAAGCTTTTTAACCAAGATCCTTCCCTAATGAGAGTATATAAACTACAAACAAATTAGCTGACCCAGCTCAGCAATATTAAACAAGTCCTCCTTAGAGATTTTCATACGTGAATTTAAAGTCTTTTCTATTCCAGGGCTGGGTCTAACTCCCTCTTTACAGATTATGCTAAATGAAACACATTCTGGCTACACAGTGACTCACAGGCCTAGTCATTTGGCAGTCCCTCACTGGAGGTATTTTTATCAGTTCACGTCACCGTTAGCATTTATCTTTAGGACTCGGTGCCAGCTTTGACTTCCACACATTCATGGCTGTGTTCCAGGACTTCTCATAAAGAGACAAAATACACAGCTGCCAAGCATCCAGGTTTTGCCACTCCTCTGAGCAGCACTACCAGTTCCTGCCATTTGGAAAGGAGAGAATTAGGGACCAAAATAAGCATTCCCCCTTTGTGATAGAAAATGGCTTTTGATGGTCTCTTGATTTGCTTAGATGTTTCCATATTTGGAGCTTTTGATTTGCTGTTCCTGTGAAACCACCCTCCCTGACCTACTCTCTTTTCACAGCTTGAAGCGACAGCCACAGAAGTCCCGTCTCTCACCCCTGCCTCATGGCTGAAAGAACAAGTGTGTTTTCTTTTGAAGCTTATGCTGCAGCAGTGTAGGACACAATATGAGCTGGAGAAACTTTTACAGCTGTTTATTGGCATTGAGCATCTCTTCTGTAATGGTAAGACCATGCTTATTGTTGAATAGCGGTGTAGAAGTTAGTTAACCCCTTACTCATGAAAAATTAATGTACTTATAGCTTAGTATGAAGTAGAGGTATGAATTACTTCAAAATCATGGTTAGAAAATTTAAAACATAATGGTGGTGGTGGTGCTGCTGCTGCTGCTATTGCTGTGGAGTTGGCTATAACTCAGTGACTCTGCGAACAAAAGATTGAAACCTTGCCTGTCCTGAGTCATCCTCAGACTCATGCTCTGTCTTGTTGTTGAAGTCACCGTCACCATGTCTATCCATCTCTTTGACAGTCTTCCTTTCACTGACCCTCTACTTTTCCAAGCATGATGTCTTTTTCCAAAGACTAAAACATAGTGCCGGAGGGAGCTCTGGTGGCCTTGTGGCAAGAAGCTGTGCTGCAATCCCGAAGGCAAGAGGTTAGAGTCCACCAGATGCTCCGTTGGAGAAGGAGGGACAATCACCTCCTGAGCCATTCAGATCTGATTGGATGGTACGCCAAAAAGAGAATGAAAAAAAAAAAAACAAACCCAAAAACATAGGGCCTGGAGTTCTGGTGGAAAAATGAATAAGGAGTTATGCTGCCAACCCAAAGGCAGATGGTTTGAATCCACCAGCTGTTTTATAGGAGAAAGATAGTCATTCTCCTGTGTGATTTACAATCTCTAAAACCTCACTGGAGGATCAACTATGAATCAGCTCCAACTCAATGGCAATGAGAGAGAGAAAGCATAATACAGCAGGTATAATTTTTAGAAACAACAGCTGTCTTATTCTAAGCAGGTATGAAATAGCCACATTTTTTTTCCCTGACTAACATTTACCTTGTACTGTCACTATCATTCTTTTCTCTGGCAGATAACTTCCACGTGTCATCCTTGCTCAGGTTTAAAAACCTTGCTTCAAGGACACATAATTCATTTTTAAAACTTCAGAAACAAACTCCACTGTTGTAGACTCCTCTTGATGTTGACAGTCTCAAAGCATATTGCTGATTAAATCAATAAACATTGCCTTGCCCCATTTTTCCTTGTTTGACCATCTCTGGTTTTGTTGCATGCTGTGCTACCTGTCCGAACTTGATTCTGGCTTTTTCACTACTCAGCTCAGTGCCATATAGTCAAAACCAACTGACCCTCCAGTGGGTTTGCAGAAGCTCAATCACATAGGAGATTGCCCATCTTTCTCCTGCAGAGCAGCTGGTGGATTCAAACTGCCTGTCTCTGGGTTAGCAGCACAACTCCTTAACCATTAGGCCACCAGAGTGCCCCTTTTCACTACTAGTGCTATTTTATTACATTTAGACTAAAAAATTGTTCAACTGGGAACTCGAATTTGCACAGAGCAGCAGCAGAATAAAAGGCTTAGTACCATTGTTATAGGCTGTAGGTCTAATGACTGAAAGTAAAGAGGGTATGCAGATTCAACTTGGTACTTGTCAGTTACTGTTTAATGTCAAATGGCATAGAACATGTGTCTTCTATGGCTTCTGTTTTTACTGATCTATAATGATTTAGAGTCGCTATAAGTCGCAGGCGACTCGACGGCACATAACAACAACAACATAATGATTGTTGTTGTTTACCATCAAGTCAGAGCCAACCCAGTGGGTTTTCAGAGGCAGTTAATCACGCAAGAGGAAATTGCTTATTCTTCTCCTCCGGATCTGATGGAATATTTGAACCTGTGCTTTTGGGATTGCAGCACAGATTCTTATCACTAGGCCACCAGACCTCCCTATAATCATAGTAATGATTTTAATTTATTTTCCAAAATTTTTTTGTTAGAATTACTTTGTCCCTTAATATTTAAAATGATTGGCTATATCACTAATTTTTACTATAATGTTTTTACTCATACATTCTATTTTATAGTATATTTGTGTTGTATGTATGTGTATTTAACATGTGTGTACTTAGGCAACACTACAAAGTTATTTGGTGTAAATAACTTGAGGGTTTTGGGTTTTTTTAAAGAAAACCCAAGTTTTTAAAAAATATACATTTTTTTTTTTAATGACAGAAAGGAATCACATAGTGGTGATGTGTGTGCAGGATGTTTCACTGTCCCTGAACACTCCCTCACCTAGACCACAGCCCGGCAGGTGGAGGCAACAGGAAATAATCTCCTTGAGGATGTGTTTCATGCCTTTCTTTTGCTATATGGTAGACTATTTGAAAGTAGAAACGAATCTGGCTACATAAATTATTTTTTTTCTTTTTTTAATTTATTTTTAATTTCAATGAAAATTTACAGGGACTTTGGATTTCTGTTCATTCATTCATTGTTGCACTTTTCTCCCCTCCCAACCCTTCCCCCTAGTACACTACCCTCTTGGAAAAGTAAAAGAAAAATCGTTCATTGTTTTATAGTCCCGTCCCCCAGCTCCACTCCACTATTCAGCCTTCGCTCTGGACTCCTGTTATGACAAAAATACCTAAACATATATCCCTTTTAAACAGTTTTCTCCTCATCTCTTTCAATGCAGTATGCATTATTGAACACATCTTTCTCAGTCTCCTCCCAACCCCGAGGTCAGTCCTGTTTTACAACAGTGGCACCATGCAATATTTGTCCTTCTGTGACTGAGATACTTCACTCAGCATAATGTCCTCCAGGGTCACCCATTTTGAATATTGCATGAGTTCCTTGTTTTTCAATGCAGTGTAGTATTCCATTGTGTGACTATACCACAGCTTCTCTATCCATTCGTTTCTTAATGGGCATTTAGGTTGTTTCCAACTCCTTGCTCTTGTGAACAAAGCCGTGATAAACATGTTGTGTGGCAGGAAATTCTTAATGTTACTGAACATAGGAATTTCAGTGAATAAGAGGCAGAAAGAGCTCATCTGGGTAAGTAGATTATTGTCAGAAAGATGAAAGGATGTTCCATTCTTAATATAATGTGCCCCATTAGAACCTGGGCTGTTGATCAGCTGAAGTTTTAGCTGTCCTACATGTTCTGTGCCTGCATTGGGTGAATGTATATAGTCAACGTAAGAGAAAATCCAGGAAGAAATGAGACTAGCTCAGGTGTATGGCCAACATCTTCCCCTTACTGACTGATCTGTGCCTGTGTACGTAGTAGGTCACCAACCTCTGCCTTGTAGAGAAAGTCAGATAAGTAGATTGAGTTCATGTACTAATCTCTTAACACTTGTTAGTAAAGGTCAGGAAGGTTTAACTAGCCTTTCTGGCACAAGTTTTATGGGACCGTGCTTCCAACTCTTGCAACATAAAGTGCTGCCTTTTCAGCCTCCCCTGCTAGTCGGTCAGAATAGAAAAGTAGATTTTTGTTTTTCCTCTACCTATATTACCATGTTAAACATATATATTTAATATTTGGCGGTTCTTTTATAGGGCAAATTGCTTTTGCATTTAATTAGCCATTTCCATCTTGTGTTAAGATGTTAATTATAGTATCTACATTCATGAACTCTTTCTTCCTACTTCATCTCTGTGATTTTTGTTTCCATTAATACGTCTGTCCTACTCCTTCCTGTTGTCTTTTTTTTTTTCTCTCTTCCTGCTTTCTTTTTTTTTTTTTTTCCTGCTTTCTTGTATGGATTTTTATTCTAAGGAGTAAACACACACTTCTTGATGTTACTGCTCAGTCACCTTGTAGGGCCTATCTGTTATTTGACTCAAAGTTGAGCCACAGGGGAAAATTTGTTCCAAGTTAAAAAGGTGACCGAAGACCACAGTCTTAGGGATTCTGCCATACTCTATTGGACCACTTGCTATTTCAGTTGTTTTTTTTTAATATTGCGTGTTTTCTCCGAAGTCTAGCCAGGGCCTTTAGAGTTGTCAGCACTGGTACTCAGCTACCATCTAAGTCTGAGCTCAGGGTTGTGGAGGTTGAAGCTCACGTCATCCATAAAACTTTTGGACTAATAATTTCTGTGTATCCTTTCTTCATATTTATTCCATAAAGGGAAACACCAGTAGTTGTAGGCTACATACAATCTTTTAAGACCCCAGTTGCTCCTCACTGACATAGGATATAGAATGTTTTCTCTGTGGACTTTGTTATGGCACCAGCAGCCAGGAAATTAAAAGACGTATTGCCATGGGAAAGTCTGCTGTTAGGGACCTCTCTAAAGTACTGAAGAACAACGGTCTCTCTCTGGAGACTTAGGTGTGTCTGATACAGGCCATGGTCTTTGCAATCCCTTGTTATTCATCAGAGAGTTGAACAATGACTAAGGAGGATAGGAGGAGAATTGATACCTTTGAGCTCTGGTGTTGGAGAAGAATATAGAGGGTACCATGGACTGCTAAGAAAACAAACCGATTCATCCTGGAGAGGGTTAAACCGGGTGGCTTCCTGGAGGCAAGGATTCTGAGGCTTTGTCTGACATACTTTGGTCATGTTGTAAGGAGAGACCAGTCCTTAGAGAAGGACATCATGCTTGGGAGGGTGGAGGGACAGCACAGGAGAGGAAGGTCCTCTATGAGGTGGATTGATACGGTGACTGGGGTAATTGGAATGAGTGTGTCGGAGACAATGAGATTGGCACAGGACAGAATAGAGTTTAGGGCTGTTGTACATAGGGTCGCTATGAGTCGCAAGCGACTCGACGACACATAACAACATATGGTGTTTTGTCAATTCTTCATTATTGTTTAGTGGTACGAAGGATTCTCTTTCATGTACCTACCGTAGTATGTTTTTCCATTCATCTCATGGGGACCTGGGTTGTTTTTATCCTTTCCTATTTGTCATTGATGCTTGCAATGAACATGGGTGTATATTTAGCTGCTCTTGAAATAACAATATTTTATTGGTTAAGTGTTCTTGTCCTCTCTTCTTGGCACAGGTCCAAACATGAAGAAACTGTGTGCCCTCAGTCAGATTTTGAAGAATACATCCATAGCCATTAATCATGAAATTATTGCCAGCTATAGCACTGAGAGTTTCCAGCGTGAATGTAGATCCATTTTGGAAAGACTGCAGAAAAATGGAAAGTTTGCCTTGGCCAGGAGGGTAGCAGAATTAGCTGAGTTACCTGTGGACAGCTTGGTTATAGAAGAGGTATCTGTCATCTTTTAAGTTACTAAAATCTTAGTTTTTAAACCAGCATTAAACAGAAATAAGGTATACAGGCCATCAGAAATTAAGCTCTTGGTTTTGAATACACGTTGCTTTCAGAAATAAATGAGTTTAGGATACCCTTCTTTGTTTTCCTTTTGGTTTTGAGGAAACCCATTCCTAAAGATCGTCTACTTAAGGCTAGTCTGCAGGAAATGTTATAACTATTTTCTTTGGACTTTTTTCCTTTGAGTAGAAATTAAATAAAAAGTGGTGGCTTCCTCTTGCATCTCATTTAATTAGATAGTTGTTTTTCTTAATTTCTAGATAAAATATCCAGGGTCATCTGTAGCACAAAGGATTTAAGTTTAGGGTGTGAAAGATTTTTCTGATACTCAGAGTACCAGAATAAAAAATTGCTCATCTCATAGAATGATTTCCAAATAGTTTAGATACTCCTTAGACCAGATTATAGAGAATAATCAAGAAAAGTCCAATGTTTTCAGATTTGATTTGGTTCTAACAAGTGAAGTACAGGTAGAGAGCATGAATATGTGTAATACTATTAATCTTGGCAAGGCTAAAATTTGCTTAAATTTCACAGGTAACTCAGGAAATGCAGACATTGAAACACATTAAACAGTGGTCCCTAAAACAAGCAAGAGTTGACTTCTGGAAGAAATGCCATGAGAGTTTTAAGAAAAATTCCATTTTGAGCAAATCTGCATCGTCCTTTTTTTCATCCCAGGCCCTTGTGGCCTGTACATCCCCCTCTGAAGAGCAGCGGAGCAGCATTGAGGAACGTCACCTGCTTCTCACCCTGTCAGGGCACTGGCTTGCCCAGGAGGACCCCATGCCAGTGGATGAGCTGGAGGAACTGGAGAAGCAGATCTGGCTCTGCCGCATTGCCCAGCACACCCTGGGAGGAAGCCAAGAGGATTTAGACCGCAGGTTTTCTCAACAGATCTCAACTAGTGGTGAACTTTCCTTTGATAGTTTTGCCAGTGAGTTTTCTTTCTCCAGGTTGGCTGCTCTGAACACATCAAAATACTTAGAGCTTAATGGTCTTCCATCCAAAGATGTACATGACAATAGATTGAGTTTGAAGGAGGAGGAATCACTGAACTTTTTGATTGGACGCCTGTTAGATGATGGCTGTGTTCATGAAGCAAGCAGAGTGTGCCGCTATTTTCGTTTCTACAACCGAGATGTTGTCCTGGTGTTGCATTGCCGAGCGCTAGCCTCAGGGGAAGCTAGTATGGAAGACCTGCACCCAGAGGTCCAGGCTCTGCTGCAGAGCGCTGAACTGCGTGAGCAAGAGGAATCTGAGGTTCCTCTGAGGAAAGTCCAAAGCAGTAAGTCAAGATCTAACCGCCTGTGTCCGCAGTGGTGCTGATGGCACTCTGTCCAGGAGGAAGGGTCCCTTTCTAGCATGCTTTATACTAACAAGGGCACAATTACTCATTTCTCAGCAACTGCAAACCAGGTAGTAGTTTAGTGGCTGAAATAGAAGCACCTGTGTCTTTTAACTAGCTTTAACTATATCAAGGTCAAATAGAATTCTTTTGACTTACAGCTAATTCTCTAAAGTTTTTCTGTACAAGTGCATTTCTGATTACACATTCCTGGTATATAGAAATGTGATTTATTTTTATACGACTTTACTCACATATTTTAGGAATTTTCTTGTAGTTTTCTTGACATTTTCTACATCAGTAATCCTGCCTTCTGCAGGTAAGAGCCATTTAGTTGTATCTTTCCAATTTGTATTTTTTTCCTTGCTTTTGTCCTTGCTAGAATGTCCAGTATGATGTTGGATATAGAGGTGAGAGTGGATATTCTTGCTTTGTTACTGAATTTAGGGGCAGAGCATTCAGCTTTGCAGCATTAAATATAATGTTGTATTTTTTTTTTTAGATCTGCTTTATCATTTTAGGATGTTCCCTCTCCTAATTTGATGAGAACTTTTATTGTGAATGGATGTTGAATTTTGTAAGAAAATTTGTTTTCATAAAGTGATCTAATGTGCATTTTCCTCTTTAGACTATTATTATGATGGGTTACATTGACTGATTTTTTAATATTGAACCAGATTCACCATCCTCATAACCTGCAGTAGATTTTGTTGAATAGCAGAACATTGTCCAGTCCTGCTGAGAGATCAGCCCATCAGGTTGGAAGGGACTTAGAATGTGACTGAGGTAGAGCTGACTCCTCAGATTGTTGCTGCTGACCCTCCAGCGGGTTTTCAGAAGCAGTTAATCACACAGGAGGAGACGGCACATCCTTCTCCCGTGGAGCAGCTTACCTTTGGATTGGCAGCACAGTTCCTTACCAGTAGGCCTCAGTCTGTTTTAATGACATGGGTAAAGTAAACTTTTACTAAATGAACGGCCTTCAGTTGTTGATACGGCAAGACTCAAAATTAGGAGAAGCAGCTTCAAACATCCATTAATAATTAGAATATGGAAATTATAAAGAATGAATCTAGGAAAATTGGAAGTTGGTAAAAAATGAAATGGAAATACTAATATCCTAAATATTAGTGAGCTAAAATGGACTACTAATGGCCAAAGAACATTTCAAGATCGGTTCTGAAATACAGAGCTGCCACTGATAGAATAATTTTCATGTGAATATAAGGAAGGCTTATTAGCATAATTATTACTCGCTGAAGCCAAAGATCACATGTTATGCATCAGAGAGTTGGACAATGACCAAGGAGGATAGAAGGAGAATTGATGCCTTTGAGCTGTGGTGCTGGAGAAGAGTATTGAGAATACCATGGACTGCTAGGAAAACAAACAGATTTGTCCTGGAAAGGGTTAAACTGGGTGGCTCCTTGGAGGCAAGGATTCTGAGGCTCCGTCTAACATACTTTGGACATGTTGTGAGGAGAGACAGGTCCTTGGAGAAGGACATCATACTTGGGAGGGTGGAGGGACAGCGCAGGAGAGGAAGGCCCTCTATGAGGTGGATTGATTCAGTGACTGGGATAATTGGGATGGGAGTGTCAGAGACAGTGCGATTGGCACAGGACAGAGCGGGAGTTTAGGGCTATTGTACATAGGGTCGCTATGAGTCGCAAGCGACTCGACAGCACATAACAACAACAACAAAGCCAAAGATGAAGAGATTGTTTCTGCCAGAATTTCTGTAGAATAAAATTGACTAAACATGCACTCAAGATGCATTAATAATAATTAGTGATTGAAATGCAAAGACTGGCGACAAAGAAGAAAGCCTGGTAGTTGAAAAATGTGGCCTTGGTGACAGAAGTGATGTTGGAGATCATATAATAGAATTTTGTACAATCAACAATTTATTAATTGTGAATACTTTAAGCAAAAAATGTAAGTGGTAAACATGGACTTCACCTGCTGGACTACATAGGAATCAATTTTATTATATCTGTGCAAAGACATAGTGGAAAAGCTCATTATCAGCAATCAGAACAAGGCCAAGGCAAATAGACCAACAAATACTCATATTCATATTCATACCTAGAGCAGAAGAAAATGAAAATAAGCCTAGGAAAACCAAAATATGACCTTAACTTTACCCTATCTGAATGGAAAAACCCTCTCGGCAATAAATTTGATGCATTGAATCCTAACAGCAGTAGACCAGACAAGTAACATCAAAGTATCATAAGTGGATGAGTCTGTCCTGTGTGTGAAGCCGGATGTCACTGTCTACCGGATTCTGCCCCGGGCCTCCAATCGCGGCTACAGGGCAACTGACTGGAAATTAGACCAGCCTGACTGGACTGGCCGTCTAAGAATCACTTCAAAAGGGAAGATTGCCTATATCAAACTTGAAGATAAAGTTTCAGGGGAGCTCTTTGCTCAGGCACCAGTAGAACAGTATCCTGGCATTGCGGTGGAGACAGTGACAGATTCTAGCCGTTATTTTGTAATCCGGATCCAGGATGGCACTGGGAGAAGTGCTTTTATTGGTATTGGCTTCACAGATCAGGGTGATGCTTTTGACTTTAATGTCTCCTTGCAGGATCACTTCAAGTGGGTAAAGCAGGAATCGGAGATTTCCAAAGAGTCTCAGGAAATGGACACTCGTCCAAAACTGGATCTGGGCTTTAAGGAAGGACAGACTATCAAATTGAGTATTGGAAACATTACGACCAAGAAAGGAGGTGCTTCTAAGCCTAGGACTGCAGGGCCTGGGGGCCTAAGCTTACTCCCACCTCCACCTGGAGGCAAAGTCACTATTCCTCCACCTTCTTCTTCAGTTGCCATCAGCAATCATGTGACCCCACCACCCATTCCAAAATCTAGCCATGAAGGCAGTGATGCAGATATCCTTTTAGATTTGGATTCTCCTGCTCCTGTCACAGCACCAGCATCAGCTCCACTTTCTGCAAGCAATGACTTGTGGGGAGACTTTAGTACTGCATCAAGCTCTGTTTCAAACCAGGCACCACAACCATCCAACTGGGTCCAGTTCTGAATGGCATTGACAGTATATTACAGACAGACTTGAAGAATAAAAATGACCTTGAGGGCACCAATCCCCGAGGGAAGTTTGAAACCCCTTCCCTCCCCAGAACCAAAATTACTGGACAATCTTTTTTGTAGCTTCCCCGTTGCATACACGCTGGTTTATGCCACTTCCCTTTGTTGTTACTTGCTGTACCGCCAAGACAGTATCCGCCATCCTTTGCTCCCTACTACGTTAGAGGAGTAGTGAATTCTCGCCATACTTGTGGCTGACTATTTAGGGCTCAAAAGGCCGGGGTCTGTTTGAGGTAAAAGTGACCTCTAACATCTGTAAAATTTGTCTCCATTTTTTCATTCTTTAGCTGAATCATCTTATGACCCTGATGTACCTCGTTGTGAAGCCCTATTTAGTAATTTCAGGAGAAGCAAAAACCTTGAAGATTTTTTTCTCCTTTAAATTAAGACTCTAAAAATGGACAGCCTAATTCTTAGTGTTTACAAATTAAGGATTTTGATAGGAGAAGGTATAGAGTAAGAACTGGTTCCTGGGTCTCTGCTGGGTATCCTTTGGGCTTATCCCTGTTCCGTAAACACCCACTGCTGGGTGCAGCTCCATCACCCTCTTGTGTGTTTACATGTCTCTTCCTAAGATAAGAGGGTTGTATTGGTGGCACCTAGGTAATTCTTTCTGTGTTGAATAGTTCAACCTCATTGACCAATGGGTGTTCCTTGGATGAAGGAAATTCAAGGGGCTATGCTCTCCCAGTTACATGCTAGAGGAGTGTTTGTTGTTGGCAGCTCTGACTAGTTGCTGCTTTTGAAGCACAGCTTTGGTTTGTATTTGCCCCATTATTTGACCTAAAGTTGAAGAGTTTGTAAACTCACCAGTAGAACAGAGAGATTGAAAATAGTTAACACTTATTTAATACCCACATTGCCTTGCTGCCTGGGTATGTATCTGAGCCCTTTCCACAAACATTTCTTTTTCAATCCACCTAACTCTTTGGTAGATTGCTGCTACTAGATATTTTGCCATTTGTGAAGGAGGTTGGAGAGTCATAATTTTAGCTGTGACAAGTTAGCCCAAGAAAAGGCTGTGATACTCATCATTGGAGTATCTCAAGAGCAGGCTGTTGTCACACTAGGTTCTTTTCCTTGTGCTCCTCCATTCCTTATACAATGCTGTGAAGAGAATTCCCTTTCTTAGATGAATGGACACTGTCTATTTAGTTGGAGGATGAAGTTGGAAAATGTAATTTTTTTCCCTCTTCTGTTTATTTGGATGTGTACACTCTGGTTGAAGGGAGTTCTGTATAGTTTCAAAAGATAGCATCTCTCCTGGATTTCTTTCTTACATTTCTATCTCTGGGTCCATTATTTTTTCATTGCCTCCCCTTCCAGGCAGCTCTATTCTTGCAGAGCCATGGCAGGACATTTTTAAATTCCAGTAGATAACACTAAAAAGAAATTCTTTAGAATCACTAGTGACTAACTTCTGGGAGCCTATTTTCTCAATCTTCCTCCATGTTGTGTTCTTTCTTTGTATTCTCAAGATAATATATTATGTATTTGAATTGCTGAAAAAAATTGAAGATGTTTAAGATAAATATATATAAAGTGAATGCTGTATTGGTGCAATAATGGTAATTAAAAATATTGGAAAAGAAAAAAAAAGTATCATAAGTGAAGCATATAAAAGGTTATAAAAAGAAAAGACCAAATTGGATGTCAGAAAAAACTGGAACTTGCTCTTGGGCATGAAGAAGCTAAAGAAAAGGGAAGAAATGATGAAAAAGAATGAAATAGAAGAGTCCAAAGGGAGCTCAAGAAGACAAAGCCAAGTATTAAAAGAAATGTGTAAAGATCTAGAGCTAGAAAACCAAAAGGAAAGAACATATTCAGCATTTTTCAAGCTGAAAGAACTGAGGAAGAAATTATGTCCTTGAGTTGCAAAACTGAAAGATTTTATAGACTGTGATGAAAAAAATACTGAGTGATCAAAAGAAGATGGATGGAATCACTGTACCAGCAAGAATTGGTTGACATTGAACCATTTAGGAAGAGTATATGACCAGGAAATAATGGGATTTAAAGAGGAAGTCAAAGCTGTACTGAGGCATAGCAAAATGTAAAGATCTAGGAATTGATGGATATAACCACTGAGGTAATGACAGGAATGTCTTCCTTTTTTCTTTTGGGTTATTTGCACTTTACGTTTGTTCCTAGGGGCACTATGAGTCGTACTTGACAACACCTACCACCACCACCAACAATGTGATTATCAACTATATTTCTTTGAATAGTATTTTAATTGGTTGTTCCATGAATTATAATAATACATTCTTAACTTTTCAAAAAGTTATTTTATCACCTCAAGTGGAATATAGAAAGCTTCCCAGCACATAGGTCATTTTATCTTTTCCCCTTTGTGTTTTTTATTTTATATATTAACATTTTTTATATTAACATGAAGCCTGTGACAGTGATGTGCCGGCAAATCATGGTAATGGGCACCCATGGTGGACATTGTTGGCTGGAGCTTCCCGACTAAATCAAGCCTGGAAGCAGGAGCAGCATCCACTTCCAAAATGGCTTGCCTCTGGAAACTCTTATGTACGAACAGTGCTCAGGCTGTTCGTTCATAGGGTCACTATGAGTTGTCTACGACTCGACGGCATTAAACAACAACAACATCTGCAGATGTTGAAAACTTCATCAAATAGTGGTATGATTTTTGTTTGCAACTGAAAAATAATATCTTTTAAAAATTTGAAACAGTCTGTTCTATTTACTCTGATAACCTACACTTTCTATTGCTCTTCCTTCATTCCTGATGTTCAGGTTTCTTTCTAGTCTTTTTTCCTTGTCTGAAGGATTTCCTTTCATTATTTTAGAACTGCCTGCTGACAATATACTGTCTTACTTTTTCACTATCTGAGTATGTATATTTTATCTTCATTCCTGATAGATATTTGTTCTTTCTAAATGGCATACTTTTTTTTCCTTAAAAATGACTTACGTCTTCCTTTTTACCACCATGATAAATCACTGCTGCCAAATAGATTCTGACCCTTGAGACAGTAGAACTGCCCAAAGCTGTCAGTGTCTTTTCAGAAGCAGACAACCTCAGCTTTTGCCCACAGAGAAGCTGGTCGGTGCCAGCGGCTAAATTCTTCACCACAGAACCAGCAGAGCTTCTGTTCTTGGTGGTTATAAAAATTCTAGGCCAAATAACAGAGGTTCATGCTTCTTTTTGGTTCTAGAAAAAGCTCTATCTTTTGGGGACTTGCTTTTCTACAGTCAGAAAAGCAAGTTCAAGATAGGCATATCTATCCATATCTGTGCCCAGGGTTAATAGTCTGAGCTGCATTTTACTATTTGTCTTCAAATAACTTTTTTATTATTAATTTTTTAGGTTTTGTTGTTGTTTAAAGGTAAAAAGTAATGACAGATTTGTTAGAAAGTTACATTCCAAATATGGAAGAGAGGCCTATTGAATGTTTCTTGTTTTTGTCCCCCCCCCCGAATGTTTTAAATGCAAATATATTACAAGCTTAGTGTAACAAATCACAGTATATAAAGCACACAAAATGAAAAGTGATATTTATACACATGTCTTATTACAAAATGAGTAGTTTTTTCCTCTATAACATTTTCCTGTATGTGCAAATGGACCTCATTCTTTTTTATTGTGATTTCAGTGAAATTTTACAGAAAGGTTGGGGTTTCATTTATTCATTGCTAACATCTTTTCCTCCCTCCCTCTCCCCTAATTACCTTTCCCCCCCTAATTCACTTTAAATGCATATCTAATTCTGGGTTGTCAGTTGCCATACACACAAAGTCTAATCATCTATTTCCTTCAGATAGTCCTTCATTTCTGCCATTCAAGTGTAATGTTCATTCTCTCTCTCTATTCTTTTTTATCTATCCATTTGTTCCCTATTCTCCCTTCCTCCTTGTCCATCCTATTTTTATAACAGTGGTCCTATGCGTTATTTGTCCTTCTGTGAATGAGGTATTTCACTCAGTGTATTGGCTTCCATACTTATCTGTATTGTATAGGGTTTTACAAGTTTATTGTTTTTCAGTGCTGTGTAATATTCCATTGTGTGGCTTTACCATTGGGTTTTATTTGTCCACTCATGGCTCTGGTATCTTTAGGGTATATTCCCTAAAGAAGTGGGATAGCAGGGTCAAATGGTATTTTTATTTCCAGCTTTTTGAGAAAGTGCCAGACTGCCTTCCAATAGAGTCTACATTCACACCAGCAATGAAAGTTTAAATCTCACCACATCCTTGCCAGCATTTGTTGTTTGGACCTCATTATTTTTTAAGGCTGCAGAGTATTCTTTGGATGAAAAAAATAGTCAGAATCAACTCATAGCTGACTGTCTAACAATTTTTCAGAAGCTGTAAATGGAACAGGAGGAAGAGCCTGCCAGTTTTCCTCTTGCAGAGCCACTGGTGGATTCTAACCACAGCCTTTGGCTTAGCAGTTCAATACCCTATGGAGTGGATAGGCCACCAGAGCTCCCGTCAATGGTTTAAAAATTCTTCACTGATGCATGTTGTTATTGTTATGTGCCATCAACTACAACTCATAGCATCCCAGTGCACAACAGCTCTGAACCCTGCTCCATATCTATATGCCATCTATTCTCTATCCAGTCTCAATCCAGTCTGTCTCTGACACACCTACCCTCATAACCGCAGTTACTCTGTCAGTCTATCTCATCCCAGATCATCTTCTCCTCCACTTTTTACTAAACCTTTTGGCATCTGTTCAGACTGAGGCTTTTGTGATTTATATTTTCAAAACTACTTTCTGAGTACAGGGAAGACGGACTGGAGGGGGAGAGAAGGTTGGCAGCAGTTAGTGTCTCAGATGCAGGTGAAAAAGTCTGTGATAATACTGATGCAGTTGCTAAACCCACTGTTTTATTTACAGTGAACAGAAATTAGGAGATGTGTGGAGAGAATTTGAATTAGGCAACTGTGTGCAAAAAGGGCCCAGGGTACCTTGGCCTTCGAGTATAGCACATTTACTCAGCTCTGTATTTACTTCCAGCTTCAAGTTTGGATATTCAGTCCTTTGTGATAGTGGCCTCCAGTGATGAAGTGGTTACTGATCTGGAAATTCTAACAAGTAAATGCCTCCATGGGAAGAACTACTGCCGGCAGGTTGTGTGTCTGCATGAACTTGCCAAGGTTTGTGACAGATGATTGGACCTCCCTGGGAAGCCCCTCTTCTGTAAGGGAGGGAAGTGGGGAAGCAGGGGTGCATCTCAGATGACACATGTGAGTGGGATGCCGACATCCAGAGGCCATCTCTGGAATAGTGGAGAGGTCAAGTCACGTGCCTGGGAAATTTGAGTTTTGGCAGCAGCTCATCAAGAAGGTAAGGGAATGTATGATAACAATCTGGAACAAGGGATGCATTGTGGGGTGGGTAAGGGGAGGAAAGAGGAGAGAAAACGTTCAACAACGAAAAAAATATTGAAAAAAAGAAGCTAGGGAAAAAGAATTGTTCTTTTACATTCATTCAGTATTGCACAGTTTCTTCGCTCTTCTCTCCCCTTCACCTCAGTTCTGTGCAATGTAACTCTTACCTCTTCTTCTGGACAATAAATGTCTGTAAGACCTCTTGTTCTTTATCAGTCAGAGCTTTACAAATGGGAAAATCGAAAACATCTTAAAATAAAATGAAACATGACAACAGTCAGGTTAGGAGCCAGAGCAGCCAAGGATTGCTTGTGGCTTTGTGCTGGCTGTCGGAGAGAAGCAGCTGACCACGTGGAAGAAACAGCCCTATCCCTTAGCGAAGGCCTAGAGATTTCTTTGGAAACCCATGGATTGAACTCTCAATTATTCACATTTCTTCTGTTTGAAGAGCTTAGTGTTCAACAAGCATCATCTCATGCTTTTGAAGACAGCCTTCTCTTGGCTTGTATTTTCTTTGGTGAAGTGATAGAAAGGGTAAGAAAATAGTGCTTCCTTCTTCTAAGGTTCCTGTTCAGGGAAAGGTTCTTTAAACTCAGAAAAAAAATGGAATCTTTCTGTACCAGATTTCAGAAAGGACTATCTTTTGCTTTATCTTTAGGTTTTTCTTGGTTGCTAATAATCACTGTGACTGGCTTTGCTTTCCTCTCAGGAACTAGGCTGTTCCTACACAGATGTTGCCTCCCAGAAGGGTGAGGCTGTACTCCGGGCAATCTTGGCCTCTCAGCAGCCTGATAGATGCAAGCAAGCTCAGGCCTTCATCAGCACCCAGGGCCTCAAGCCAGACACTGTGGCTGAACTAGTGGCTGAAGAAGTGACAAGAGAGCTGCTCACGTCATCAGAGGGAACAGGTGACCTACCTCCAAACCTCCCCCATCTCTCAGACAGGACTCCCAGGTTCCTAACATGAAGGATTTGCATGTTAAGTTCAGGCACACCCTGTCTGGTGTTTTCCAGGTTACACTACATTGGAAGAAAACACATGGATTTTGTTGCTGCTTTTTATTGTTTTCTGGGTATGGAAGGAACTATGTCTGTCTCTAACTTAAGAGCTCCTGCTGTCCTGTAAGACAACCACGGAGCTTACCTGGAACCGCCTGGTGCTCAGACTTTCCTCACCACCGCCAAATCTCATGACAAAACTAATGCCTGTTTCCACATCTTTCAGGACATAAGCCGATGTTCAGCCCTGCAGAAGAAAGCCAGACGTTTCTCCAGTTGACCATGCTGTGTCAAGACCGCACATTGGTTGGCATGAAGTTGTTAGAGAAGATATCCTCTGTTCCCCATGGAAAACTCTCTTGTAGTAAGTTGGCCTTTTTCTCAAGCAGGCCTCCGAGGTGGCTCAGAACTTCTGCAAAATGCAATTTGAGTGATTGTTCCTACTCTGGATCTTCACCTTTCCAGCATAGTTCATAACTTTTGGTGAATCGATTCAGTAAAGAAAATTTAGAAAGTATGAAAAACCACTTCTAATTTCAGTTATACAGAAAGATAACCTTCCCTTATTTGACCATTTTATCTTATTTCACTCCTATATGTAATCCTGTAGATAATCCTGTCCCTTTTAGAGTGAAGACACTGACTTTGTTTAATCAGCAATGAAAATGTTCCTAAGAATCCCCAACTTTCAGATAGTGGGGGAAATCTGTAACTTAGAATGTGAGGGCTGTCTAAGAGCTAGAGCTGCTGTGGTCCATAACCTCAGAGGGCTTACTTACGTGAGAGCTCTCTGCAGACAGTGGGTGCCATGGGCTTAGAACCGTTTTAAGATGCCTGCCCCGCCAACTCAGCCACAGAGCTGCTGATCCTGGCCCATCATTGCTTCTCCCTGACGTGCCACATGGAGGGCATCATCCGAGTCCTGCAGGCTGCCCGGCTGCTCACAGATAACCATTTGGCCCCCAATGAGGAGTATGGACTGGTGGTAAGTAGCCTCACACAGACCCCACCCTCCATCCACCGAAACCTTTGAAAGGAGCAGATAGTCTGGGTTCAGCCCACCTAGATACCAACTTGGGAATTGGCTGGGGCCCAACTCAACCCTTTCTTCTTAGTCCCTGGTTGAATCAGATTGCTCCAAAAGAACAGTGAGCTAAAGGGATAACCCACCATGCTTGGGGGCTGCCACATCCCCTGTGATGGAGGTTCCCTTTTTAAAGGGTTAAGACTTAATCTCCTACCTGATTTGAATTAATAACTCAAGCCTCATGTACTTCCCCAAATTCTCTGGATTGAAAACTGACTTGAGGCTAAGCAAGCCATTTCATGAAAGATGGGAAGAGGAAGTGTGTCTGGCCAGAGGATGGCACTTTGGCACTTGGTCACATTAGACGCTCTGGAGGAGGGACACTGAGCACAGCAGACTTGCCATTAGCTCTTTGCTGCTGGGCCTTGGCATCTGAAAGCAAACTAATGAGAGCAGTGCTTTGACTCAGAGAATCCCATGTGATGCTAATGTTGCCCTCTCCCAAATCTCAGGTACGTCTCCTCACTGGCATTGGAAGGTACAATGAAATGACATACATATTTGACTTGCTGCATAAAAAACACTACTTTGAAGTGTTGATGAGAAAGAAACTGGATCCGGTAGGTGTGAATTATGAGCATACAGTCCTGGTGTCTGGAATTGCGTATTTTCTCAGGAATATTCCCAAACTGGATGGATCCCTGGGATCCATAGGGAGTTTGGGACTTCCCACTTCTGACACAGTGGCTTAGGGTTACAGACCAGGTAGTGACTATGCAGGCTAATGTTAAATAAAATATGAGTTTGTCTTCCTCCATCTGTAGCCTCTGTCAATGTGCCACTTCATGCAAATGCCTCTAATGGCAGAATTCCTCCCTAACAGCCAGGTCAGAAGTAGATTGCTGTGCATTTGAGCTTGCTGTCAGCCAAGCAGCAAGGGAGTGTGTCAGAGACTATGAAAAAGCGTGTTGCTGAGTGATGAATTGAATACATAGGCTTGTCCCAGTAAAGCTGTGGAAGTACTGACAACCACTAAGAAGCAAAGCCTCAGTTCCCAGCCCTCTGAGCCCATCTTTTCTATTCTATGTGACTCAGAGGTGGGGGTGGGGTTGTGTAATAAACACACATACATACACACAGAGCAAGTGAGAAGGCACCTGTTTCCACATCTTTAGTTGATCCACTGTTTCTGCTCACTACACCTTTGAAGAGATCAAAAACTTGAGGTGTACTTTTAGCTCCTATGAACATGGGCCAGCCAACCAGAACCCCCACCTGGGGCGTTTCTTAAAATTGTTTTTAAGGCAGATTTTTTTGCATTTAAATATTCTTTTAATAACTTAGTTTTTCTGATTACAAAAGTAACGCATATTCAATATAAGACACTTGGAAAATGGACAACACAGGAAAAAGCCCTTCGTGTCTACCCACCACCTGGAGATAGTTTCTGCTCACGGTTTTCCATGTACCCACAAATATACATACATTCATATTTACAGACTTTTAAACAACATATACTTATGCTGTGCAGTTAAGAAGTATCCTGCATTTTTTTTTTTTCTAAATACCATGAGTATCTCCCAATAGTCTACTTTAGTTGTATGGTTTTTCCATTATTTTGGACATGTAGATGGTTTTTTAATTAATTGTGTATAAATAGCTTTGTTAAAATTTCTCTTCAAATTGATTGATTATTCCTAGAAATGCAATTGTTAGATCCAATGCATTTCTAACACTTTGAGACTTCTCCTTTCTGATACATGTTTTCTTAGGACTGAATACATAAAGTTTGTTCCACTTTTGCTTTTCCTTGGTTTTTAATAATATTTAACATCTAAGGGACTAGATCACAGCCTAGCTGTGATCACATTACCTATCCCTTCTTGCCGTGTAGAGTGGCACCCTGAAGACAGCCCTGCTTGACTACATTAAGCGCTGTCGCCCTGGAGATAGTGAAAAGCATAACATGATTGCCCTGTGCTTCAGCATGTGCCGGGAGATTGGCGAGAACCATGAGGCAGCTGCCTGCATCCAACTTAAACTGATCGAATCTCAGCCATGGGGTGAGCATACATGACAGCAATGAAAGTGGCCAAGGCAGGCTCTTAGAAAGGCAGAAGCTTGACACTGGCAGCAAGAAGCTGGGGCCAGTATGTTATAGTGGGGCCCCAGTTGGCAGACAGAGCAAAGGATCTCGAAGGCGTCTTTCAACTCTTGGGATCTGTAACCTGTTCATATATATCCCTTACCAGAAACCCTTACATATGTTGATGTCTCGTGTGAGCCATTGAAGCTTCTGAAAAGAACTGAGGGTGGGGGTGGAGGCGCATCATATCCTACTCTGGTGAAACCAAGGTTCTGTAATATGTACTTCCGGTCCAGTAGCCTTTACGCGAGACATACCTGCCTCTTCGTGTGAATGGTTTTGGTTTCAGCCTATCATCACAATGAGTGGGGGTGAGAACAGCCTGCGTTATGCTCGGGTTTCTTCTTCCCTTGCAGAGGAGAGCCTCAAGGATGGGCACAAGCTGAAGCAGCTCTTGCTGAAAGCCCTGACACTGATGCTGGATGCTGCAGAGAGTTATGCCAAGGTGACCAGTCTTACCCCAGACCTGCCTGGGAGCTCAGTGCACTTAGCCCCAGGGGTTAAGGGAAGGGAGTCATGGGCCAATCAGAAATAGGATAACAGGAGATGGTGGTAAGTGTCTATCCTGCCTCCCCTTGTCTTTTAGGACTTCTGTGTGAGACAAGCCCTGCGCTGTCACCGGTTCACCAAGCTGTTAACATTACAGATTCACTTTCTGAACACTGGCCAGAACACAGTGCTCATCAACCTGGGCCGCCATAGGTTGATGGACTGTATTATGAGCCTCCCTCGATTCTACCAGGTGAGCAGGCCCCTAGTCCGCACTGTTAAATAGACAGTACTATAAATAGATTTGCCCGGAGTTCCTGTTCTGCTGACTAGCAGTCTAATCCACTGTATTGTCTCTTATTAATAATTCTGGGGCAAAGATACTGAGAAGTACGGGATCTTTCTCCATGCTGTTAAGCCAGCCACCTTTGACACAGTTATAGTGAGTAGTTGCAGTCCTATTAAGTTACCTGTCCTGCAAGCATTTCTTAGCTGCAGGGGTAATGTAACCTAATTCCAAGTTAGTACCTGGAATTAAGGCTGTTTGGAGAAGAGTTTTTCTGAGCAGTTTTATAAAACCACTGTTGAGAAAGGTGAAAAACTTAAAGCAACTGTGGGTTTAAGGGGAAACTGCTAAAATCACAGAACTTGTAACATGATTAAAAATGATCACATTCACTGTATCTGTGTGCAGTATTAAATTGTTTTCTAGAACAGTTGGATCTTATTTTACATCAAATAGGCTCTCATGGTCCTCTTCTGTCTTTAAGGCTTCTATTGTGGCTCAGGCCTATGACTTTGTTCCAGATTGGGTTGAAATTCTATACCAGCAAGTGATTCTTAAAGGTGACTTTAATTACCTGGAAGAATTTAAACAGCAGAGGTTATTAACATCCAGTGTATTTGAGGAGATTTCAAAAAAGTAAGTATTGAGTGTACAGCATTTCTCCTCTTCTTTGCTTTGAGGTAAAGCATGACTAACTGTATCGCTGAGTACTACATACCTTTAGCTACCCCTTGAGGTGGCAAAGATATGTCAAGAATACTCTGTAGAAAAGATCTTTTAACAGATCTATGCAAACAATGACTAAGTAAGACAGTTTACCTTATGGCACTTATATTTAAATGGAAGGATGGCTGCTTGGTTAGCCGATGGTGCCCTTTGAAGCACTGAATTTAACTGAGATGAGCATCAAAAGTAATTTTATATGAAATTCAGTTTTTATGCACCTGGATTCCAGCATCTGATTTTTTTGTTTTTAGCATCTGATATTTTATAGGTAGTGAGGAGTGCTGGTTCACCAGTATGCAAAATTCTAACCTGTACACTTATGTTTCTGTCTAGATACAAACAGCATCAGCCTACAGACACAATAATGAAAAACCTGAAGAAGTTACTGACATATTGTGAAGATATCTACTTGTATTACAAGTTGGCATATGAACACAAATTTTATGATGTTGTAAATACGCTTCTGAAGGACCCTCAGATAGGCTGCTGTATAAAGGACATGCTGGCAGGTTAGATGGACTCGATGAAGGTTAACTGCTACCGAGATTTTATAGGTGCCTTTATTTTTCTGTTCAGAGTAGAATAATGGATTGGGAGATTTTTATATTTTAAGTGCCAGGACTACACCCTATCAGTCCTTTGTGGATTGAAGGCAAAGAAAAAGATGGACTTTTCACAATGATATTTCTACTTAAAAAGTGATTATATTCATTCATCTGTGTTATTTAATATATAACTATTAGTATTAACACCAAAAGCTTCATCTTCCTCAGGATGGTTTTTATTGTATACACTATTGATTAATGAAAACCTATGCCTGCAGATTCTAGTTTCAAAGGAATTTAATATTTACAGTTAAGGAACAGGTGACAGATACATTTCCATTTGTTAGAAACTGATCTCATAAAATAAATCTTAAAATTTATTCATTACTAACTAAAGTACTTCTAGCCCTTATGTGCCTTAAAACAATCTATTTGCTGTCAATTATTGCTGTAGTTAATGCTTTAACTCCTAAAATCATTTAGATAGTCCTATCTCTATTTAATGGCCTACAGAGTTTTGATTTAGAATCAGTTTGTTGTGTAGGAGAAATTTTAAAATTTCCCCCACCCTCACTGTCCATTCTGTAATGATTAGAAGCAAAAGAATACAATCATTAATTTGGCTGAAAAGCTTACAATGTGATATATAATGAAGAAGGCCGCCCATACCACTAAAGGATGACTAATGGAACATTCATCACCTAAACAACTTTATCCTGCAGAGTTATATCTCAATTATTCCAAATAAATCATTCTAAATATTTAATTAGGCCTTCAAAGAAATGTTTTCCCTAGTAAGGGGAAGGCATCCCTACACCTCTGTTGCTCTTTTAGTGACATTATTAAGAATGTGGCAAATTATTCTCATTTTAAAGCTGTAACTACTGGTCAGGCATTTATTAAGCTTCAGTCAGTACATAGTGAAAACCTCTGATCCCAAGAGCTATACTCTCCAAAAATACCTCTTGGGAGGTAACACAAAAAATTAAGTCCTCACAATAGTGATTTTATTAAATTAGTTGCTTTATAAAACATTGCAGATGTCATAATTGTTAACATAACAATTTGCCAAACTGTAGTTAACTGGTGCAGTTCACTGAGCATGTTTTATAAAGGAAAGGAAATGCCAAAACCCTGTTAAAGTGGTTCCACTGCAGCCTAGGAGAACAAAGGAGATTTTGTTTCTCACACATTTAAACCAGGCAATTAAACAGGTTTCCCTCCCCCATCCAAACCACTCCACTAGTAGAAACATTCTGATAAATATAGACAGTCTTTGCATTCAAGAAATTCCACAACTTGAAATGCAATAATGGAGAAGTTTACCATCTTCGGTTTCAAAGTTGGAGGGTTTTGGTCATCTAATTTTAAAGTTTCAAACTACTGGCTTTTCAACCGCAGTATCTTCACTCTGAGAAAGCAGTCTTCTTCACAATATATGTTTAATATCCTCACGCTCAATTTAAGACAAAGCAATTTTAATACTAGGTGCACACCACATGCCCTTGCTGCAAACTGCTTTTCTTGACAAGTTATGAAGTAGTTCAAGGAGGTATGGTTAAGGCTGTATTACTGAATGGTGCTGGTAAATACTACACAATTTTGTCATGTTGCAACTTTGTTTCCAATTTAGTGACTGCTGCTATAGAGTCAGATAGCAACAATGACAACATTATTAGGATTTTTTAAAAACTATGATTTAGTAGCAACTGAGGTTCCCAATTTTAACCCCTTGGCAGCAAGATCCAAGTTCCCTCATTTGCACATTAGCACCTAAGAGTCAAGGGGTTAAGTAACCAGCACAAAGATACTGCACTTCTGATTGTAGCATTTGGCAGAACTGAAAGGAAAGGAAGTTGTGCTACATGTTGTAGGGACTGTGGGCAACAGAAAGAAGACACCAGGAGAAGATAAAACTTTGTCACATGAAGTCTTCATAGTCTTGTACATATCCTCCATCATAACCACCATAGTCTGCCAGATCATCTTTCATGGTAGCTTTTAATCCCCCTCCAGGAACCACACCTTTCTTCTTCTTTTTGGCTCTGCTTTGCTAAAGATGAAAAAGAATACATACATGAAATTTTATTTCATCTCGGCAGCTAATCTGTACAGCAGCTCTCATAGATACCAACTCCTCTAGTCCCAGAAACTCTAGTTCTCTAAAGGAGATCCCCAACCTAAAGCCACATGCACATCTAAAACAGGCTAATGGCAACCACACTCCTGCTCTATTCCAACTTAAAGTGGTTGGAATTTTCCTATCACATAGAGAATAATCATATAATTGCTTCTAAATACTTTCTTAATGTCAGTTTTCCCTCCTGCCTAGACTTGGTCCTAATGTAATACACATTTCCCTATACAATTTATTCTTACCTTTTCTTGCTTCTGTTTTTCACTGCAAAGCACAGTCAATGAATTGGTAATCTTTTTCAAGTCATCAATTTCCACTAAAAATGAAAAAGGAAATGGGAGGCATACAATTTAACTTCAGCTTTCAAGCTTTCTCCATGAAAATGTATACATTACTCCCAAAATGCTAGATCTCATTTTTCCATGATTAACTTAGAAAAGTCTGTTAATTTCTATGTTTTAAACATAAAATGGTGAAGAAACATTTAGTCTATGACTAGGCTTATGAATCAGAACTCAACATTTAAATAAAATGGCAACCTCAGTAACAAAATTTAGGTTTATGTGATTATCAAGACACTACTGACTCAACAAAAGAAACGTATCTTTCTAACCGTCAGGGCTCCCTGCCCACTTCCCTTTTCTATCCAAACACATACAGGAAGGTAAGCTTACATACAGGAAGGTAAGCTTATAAGTCTATGTGAGGACTAACCAAGCATGGGATGAGAATCTTAAGCCCACAGAACACAAACCTGTGTGGTGTGTCATTTTTCCAGCACAAGAATTAGAATAAAAATAGTCACTATCTCAGCAATTTCAATGTCTTACCAAGAGGAGCCTGCTTAGCAGATCATATATCATAAAAATGTGAAGCTGGAAACAGATTCCAGTGGTCAGCTACCAAAAACTGTTCAGGAGCTTTGGTCAAAAAGTACATGGGCAGATCAGAACCCCAAACCCAGTGATTAATTTTGAAAAGAAAACCCAGTTTCAGATGTATTGCATAGGACTTCCTTTTCTGACTCTTAAAAACAAGTAATAGCAAAACTAGTTCCTTCCATATTAGTGCTACACCACCGTCAGCTGTCATTCCCATACATCCTGCCCTGAAAAGCATGACACCAAGCCAAGGTAGAAGCCATGCATGAGTATCAGCCATCTTAAAATGGGATAGACCTAGAATCATTTTCCCAAAAGAATACTCTGACATCAGGTAAAAAAATTTTATTTTTTGGAAACAGCAATGTATCACTGCATGATGAAACAAAAATGTCAATTGTACACAATGGTTAAAATGGAAAATGACAAATTATTTCATATTATCTCCCCTGTAAGACAACTAGATTTTTGAGCAGCCAGTGTTTATTATTTGTTGCTCTGAAAAACCCAGTCTCACTATATATTTGCAGAACAATATTTCTAAGGTAATTACTAAAAAGCAAATCTAAGAGCTCTGGTGGCCTAATGGTCAATTGAATGGTCAAGAGCTGCACTGTCAATTCAAAGGCACATACTCTAATTCAAAGGTTCCAATCCACTAGTTGCTCTTCAGGGAAAAAGATGGGCAGTCTCCACCCCAGAGATATATAGCCTCTGAAAACCTCCTGGAGGATTAGCTAGGAGTCAGTTCTGAATGCGTGACAATGATTTTTTTTAAATAGGATCTAAAATAGCTTTCATCCTCCTGAGTATGATCTGTCCTTATTTAAAAAAAAAACAAAACAAAAAAATCTACCCACTGGGGGTTAGATGTACTTACACGAAATACACACATCTCGAACTAAGGCTTCTAAAAAGCTGGCATAATATAGTGACTTTTCATATTGTGTAATTTTATCTTTTAGTAATTTTCCAAACTCTGTGAAGTCATCTCTTGAAGATGGGTTCATAGCATCTATTCCATAAACTGTACTATTAACACCTGTAAGACAGAGGAACAGTGAAAATGTTGGGAATTTCCGATTTTAACAAGTTATAAACCAGTTAGCTTCTCCCTTATGAACTTCTTTCATTCTTAATGGGGTCACTAAAGCTCTCAGTCAAAATGTAAGACCTCTGCATTTGGATGAGAAACATTTATTCACTAACTCCTAATGTATTCACTCCATTTTAATGACAGGTAACAAGACTTATCAACAGAAATCAGGTATTTTCACATTATAACAGCCACAGTTATTAGGGATATCAAAAAATAGTGTTACAGTCATCAGTCTTAAAAAAATTACATTACTCATTAAATTGTCTCCTAGATCATGTTTCTTAATGCATTCAGCCCACCATAACTGCGTGAAAATCTGCTATTCTGATATTATATTTCTTAATTTCATTAATAACAACGTTCCTCTCTATTTTTTATTACATTCTAAAAGATAACATTAAGAAGGGGCCCAGAGATTTGACCATACTATCTGTCAAAGGGATGGATGCTCTCAATCAAAAGGTTATCCAAGAACAACCTTGAATAACATGGAGAGAGAAGAAACAAAGATGTATTCTGTGAAAGGATCAGTTAACACCAGAAGCTAAGGGCAAACCATACATGTTTTAATTAATCTTATTTTAATAAGATTAAATAATAAGAAATTAATCTTATTTTAAAAGGGTTCTAGGCTGAAACAAGAAAGCTACTGTATTTTTCTCAGTAGTCAAGTAAATTAGTTGTTAACAGTACTAGTAATTCAATATTTTGGTAGAAGAAAAACAGTGTAAGAATCCCATCAACCAATGACTATATAAACGTCTAATATTTTTGCCTTTTAATTTGTAACCAGTACTCCACACCAGGCTTAATGCATACTACATAAATCCTTTTCTTTAATAAACTAGCAGCTTAATTAGATGAGTGTGGTAAAGACCCAACACCAACTCTGGGCACAGGAGCATCCATAGCAACTCTTAAGCTTGCTAGAGTCTCACCAAGAGGGAAGGGTCACAGGAGTCAGCCTGCTTTATCAGTTTTAAAGAACAGGGGGAGGAGGAAGGAAAGTAGACTAAAATTTCAGTTCTTAAAATTCTATTACAAAGTTACTTAAATGTCTCTTTACCTAACAACAAACTTGGTCATATTGAGAATTTACCTGGATGTGTCTCTTGCTTTACCCATCTATGTCATGCATCCCTTTACTGGGAATAATCTGAGTTATCACATTATGTGCAGGCTTCTGAGCATGTCTGTCATCTCATTCTCAAAATACAACTGTACGCATGACACAGAAAAATGGAAGGCCTCTAAAGATAGGGCATGATGAGAGCCAAGCAGCACTACAGAGAGAAATGACTGTAAATGCAGAAGGCACAGCACCTTCATGAGTATCCTGGTGTACAAGTTTTATACAGATTTCAGAAAATAGGACAGGCTACAGTTGGTTCAATATGTAAATTTCAGAGCTATATATTTCATCTCAATGATAAAAATATTCAAAGAAGTTAGTATACTTTATTTGGGTCCACTGACTTTGCCTTAGTAATCTTCGTTATCCAAAACAATTATTAAAAAAACTGAACATGTACTCACTTTACCTTTTCAAGTCGTGAAACTTTAAATATATACATTATTTCTATACATTAAATATTTAAAAAATTGTATTCTAGCATTTCTAAGTATGATCATAGGAAATTTGGCAATCATTCTGAGTGATGTAAAATATGAAAATGTTGGGATTAGCAAATGCTGATATAGAAATACAAAATTTTTTAAAACTATTTTTCTAATATCTAGATTACTTAGTTTCATTTTTTTAATTTTATTTTCTAATCATTTCTTGTTAAAAAGATGTTTTCTGATCTTCTGGCCACAAGATTAAAGTTTTACTCTGGAACTGTTAATACTTTGCAATCTAAACCCCATCTTACCAAAAGTCTCTTTTGCTAATTCCAGATCTGCCTCTTCTTGTAATTTCTTTAGTCGAAGTTTATCTGCTAATTGTTCTTCTGGTGTCAGCATTTTAGGCTCTTCAGGTTCTTCTAGCTAAAATGAGACATGAAGTTTTAAAAGGATTGTAGTATGATGGACCCTTGCACTGTTTGAGTTTCTTAATAGGCATATATAAATAGCAATCAACACTAAAGTTATCACTGTAAACCTTTTCATAATTAAGAAGCCTTGATGGCATAGCTCAGCTGCTAGCTGAACAGTCAGCAGTTCAATCCATTACTACTCCACAAGGGAGTTTTGGTGGCTTAATGGTAAAAGGTTGCGCTGCCAACCCAAAATCACATGGTTCAAATGTACCAGCTACCGCAAAGAAAGAGGGGTAGTCTCCTCCCATGTGATTTAATGCTTCTGAAAACCCACTGGAGCATTAACTATGAGTTTGTTACAACTCAATGATACAAAACAACTACTCTGCAAGAGAAGACAGATATGAGAATCTACTATAAAGATAATAGCCTAAGAACCCTATGGGGCAGTTCTACCGAGTCCCTGTTAAATTGGAATCATCTTGACAGATGTAGAGTCTTTCTGCACAATTCAGATGCACTGGTGGCGCAGTGGTAAGGAGTTACACTGCCAACTCAAACGCAAATTGTTGAAGTCTACCAGGTGCTATGTGGGAGAAAGAAAGGCAATCTTTTGTACAATTTATAGTTTCTGAAAACATAGTGGAGGGTCTGCTATTAAGTCAGTTACAGCTCAATGGCACGTAACAATAATTTACATATAATCTTCTTAAGAACCACTGAGGAGGATTAATACTATGATCACAATTTTACAGATAAAAAAATTGAGGCACAAAGACATTAAGTAACCCACCCATTACAGGAAACATTAATGGCAATGTAGAGCTTAGATTTGAACACAGGAAGGCTGAGTTTATTTATACTACCTTAAAAAGAACTGAGGTTTCCAAGAGGGTGAAAATAGTATTCTCATAATTTTTTTTTTCCATAAAATACGATTATGAACTGGAACAACTTTTCTAGGGAACTTAATATCAAGCCTAAAAAGGTTTAACCATTGATTCTGCTTTTAGGTGTCTATTTTAATAAGCCAAAGATGTACAAATATTTCTGCACAAAAGCTGTATTAGTTATAGATAGTTAAGAATGCATCTTGTAACACTTACTGTTTTTCCTAAGGTAAAGCAGCACTCCTTTTGTTTATCTCCCCAAAATGGTTTTACAGATCTCTATCCAAAATAGGGAACCCTGGTGGCCTAGTAAGTAGTAAGAAGCTGTGCTGAAATTTCAAAAGCAAGCAGTTCAAATCTACCAGCTGCTTCATGGAAGAGGGACAGGCCATCAACTCCTGTACAGTTTGTTGTTATTTTTAGGTGCTGTCTAGTTAAGTACAGCCATTAGCGACCCTATGAACAACAGATCCGAATCCTGTCCTAACCTGTGCCATCCTCACACTTCCTGACACACTGAAGCTCACTGAAGCAGTCACCGTGTTAAACCACCTGGTTAAGGGTCTTCATCTCTTTCGCCGATCCTCCACCCTTCCCAGCATCATGTCCTTCTCTAAGGAATAGCAGCCCTTCTTAGCAACATGCCCAAAATATGTGAGGCAAAGCCTCATCATCTTTGCCTCCAAAGAGCACTCTGGCTATACCCTCTCCAAGACATATTTGTTTTGTTCTTTCAGTAGTCCAGGGGATATTCAGCACTATTCTCACAACACCATAGCTCAAAAGCATCAAATCCTCTTTTATCATCCTTATTCACTGTCCAGCTCTCATAAGCACAGCAAGTGATAAGACCATGGCTTGAATCAGACATACCTTGCCTCTAAAAATCTGCTGATTCTACACCACAACCACCACCACCCCAGGCTCTTAGAAGTAAGGATGGTGAGAGTTCTATCACATAGGCATGTTACTAGGAGGGGGCCAGTCACTGGAGGACATCATACTTGGACAGGTAGAAGGTCAATGACAGGGAGGAAAGCCACAAGATGGATTGACACAATAATGGCAATAATGGATGGAAGCACAGCAGCGGAACAAAATTGATTTATTACATTGTTATATTTTGTTATATGGGCACTGTGAGGCAGTGCCAACTCAATATGGCACCTAATAACAAACCACCTAGACCCCTATATCATGGGACCGGGGATAGGAAAACAGGTGGGTGAGGCAAAGGACATGGTTCTAGGTGCAGGGTCCCACGTTTCGTTACAGGCTACCCCTGCAGCTTAGGTGGGTAGAACACTAAGCAGGGCTAAACACACTGTGTTGTTCCTCCTCCTCCTCTTCACTCCAGTTTTGCATGCAGGCATCACCTTGTCTGGTCCCCCCCTCCTCAACACTCATCAGCCCCAGCTGTGCTGCCAGATCTTCAAGCTTTCACTTTACAGCAGGAGCAGTGACAGGACAACCACATGCAGGTTCTTATATTCATGTGACCTTGTGATTCTAGCCAAATTATATAACCTCCTACAGAACAAACTATGAACATTAAGTAATTCATACCTTCATTTCAAATCACTGATGACTTTAAAGATTAGTCCAAGTATATAAACAGAATGGTTAAATAAATTATGCACTATCCATATGACAAAATACCATATAGACAAGATCTTTTCCACGTAAAACTTTTTTCCCCATATTATACTGTGCATGAGTTTAGTAGTAGTAGTATCAAATACATTATTTAAAGTAACTAATTCTTTTGTTATTTTTGTTATGTGCCGAGTCACCTAAGACTCATAGGGACCCTGTGTACAACAGCCCTAAACCCTGCACCAATCTTACTGTCTATGATATACCTACCTCCATTACCCCAGTCACTCCTGTGCTATCCCTCTCCAAGAACTAATCCCACCTTGCAACATTTCCAAAGTATGTCAGACAAAGCTCCAGAAACCTTGCCTCCAAGGAGCAGCCTGGCTTGACCCTCTCAAGGACAAACTTGTTCTCCTAGCAACCCATGGTATATTCAATATACTCTTATCCAGCACCACAGCTCAAAGGCATCAATTTTTCTGTCATCCCTAGTTTTCTTTGTCCAGCTCTCTGATGCCTAGGAAGTGATTACAAAGACCATGGCCTGTATCAGACTGACTGACATCACTGCTCTTCAGTACTTTGGAGAAGTCTGTGACAGCAGACTTTCCCAATCCTTGTTGTTATGTGCCATCGAGTCGCTTGTGACTCATAGCAACACCATGTACAAGAGCTCTAAACGCCGTTCTATCCTGTGCCAACCTAGCCATCCCAAACGCACTCCTTCCCACCACTCTAGTCACAGAATCGATCCATCTCATCGAGGGTCTTCCTCTCCTGTGCCGTCCCTCCACTCTGCCAAACATGATGTCCCTCTCCAAGGACCAGTCCCTCTTTCCAACAGGCCCAAAGTATGTCAGACGAAGCTTCCAAATCCTTGACTCCAAGGAGCATTCCAGCTTCACCTTCTCCAGGACAAACTTGTTTGTTCTCCTAGCAGTCCATGGTATATTCAATACTCTTCTCCAGCACCACTGCTCAAAGGCATCAATTCTATAATACCTATTCACTGCCCAACTCTCTGATGCATAGCACATAATTGCGAAGACTACAGCCTGGATCAGGTGCACCTTAGTCTCCAGCCGGACATCATTGCTCTTCAGTACTCTTGAGAGGTCCCTCACAACTGACTTTCCAAAGCAATTCTTCTCTTGATTTCCTGGCTGCTGTTACCAAGAGTGTCGATTGTGGAGCCAAGTAAACTAAAACTGTTAAATATCTCAGTCTCTTCACCATCCATACTGATGCTGCCAATTGGCCCAGTGGTGAGAATCTTTGTTTTCTTGATGTTGAGCTTCAATCCATATAGGAGGCTGCAGTCCTTGCAGCAAGCGCTTCAGGTCCTCCTCCATTTCATCAAGCAGGGTTGCGTCATCTGCATAACGCAAGCTGCTGATGACTCTCCACCAATCCTGATGCCACATTTCTCCTTGTACAGCCCAGCATCTCAGATGATCTGTTCTGCATACAGATTGAAAAGGTATGGAGACAGAAAACATCCCTGACGGACCCCCTTCTTGATTTTGAACCATGTAGTGTCTCCTTGCTCTGTTCTGACGAATGCAATCAAATGTTCTCAGATTCCCATTCTTCTCAGAGTCAGCCACAGCTTGTTGTGATCCACACAATCAAAAGCCTTTGAACAGACAGACATTCTTCTGGTATTCTCTGCTTTCTGCCAAGATCCATCTAACATTAGCTTTAATATCCCTAGTACCACCTCTTCTAAATCCAGCCTGCACATCTGGCAGTTCTCTGATGACATACTGTTCCAAATGTTTTTGGATAATTTTCAGCAGAATCTTGCTTGCATGTGATATTATTGATGATGTTTGATAATTTCCACACTCTGCTGGGTCATCTTTCTTTGGAATGGAAACAAATATCGATCTTTTCCAGTCAGTCAGCCAGCTGGCTGTCCTTCAGATTTCTTCTTAGTGAGCACATCCAGGGCAGTGTCTGTTTGTTGAAGTATGTCAATTGGTATGCCATCAACTCCTGGAGCCTTGTTTTTTACCAATTCCTTCAGAGCAATTTGAACTTCCTCCTTCATCACCATAGGCTCTT